TGTCTTTATTTTCATTAAATTTTTCTCCTTTATTAGATCTTAGTTATCCTGAGAGACTAGGAAAATTCTTCTTCACTCACCTGTTTTACACAAAGGTTTTCTACTCCAATTTGCAATTTCATATTTCCATATAAAATTCGAGAAAGGGTGCAGAAATATACTCGTAACTAAAGAAATGACAGACTGAAAATTTCAAAATATTGACTTCTCATTACCTTCCAGAATAGAAGGAATCGTCCAAGGAGTGCTCAAAATCAAAATCGGGTAGGCCTTTCAAAAAGCAGAATATGATGAGAGCTTTTAAATTTCATAGATTAAGTGATTCTAAGAGCTTAATATTTCCTCCGTTTATTGCGACTCAGTGCCATCTGGCATTTGTAACTGGTGTCCTGCCTCCTCAGGGCAGCAGAGGGCGCTCTGGAATTGTTGACACCGGATTCCTCCCGGTGCACCGAGCTAGCATCTTGTTCCCAGGAAGGAAACATACTATTTCCCTGGAGGGTTGTCGTTGAGTATCACAACGGGTCAAGCTGTTCCTAAATTATTCCGAGAAGCTTTAATTTCAGACCACTAGATGAAAGTTGTGATTGTCAAAGGACTCCCACGGCACGCCGCGCTGAAGTTCTCCAATTGCGAAGCTTGGATTGTTTTATTGCAAAACTGAGCTTAGAATTTCATAGCAGGCGCATTTGTAATGGACATTAAACTGACTGATTATTTCAAAAGAAATTGGAAATAAATAGTCTTAAAAATCTAGAAACATCACCGATCAATAACCAGTCTGGATTTAATCCTAGCCACCTAATTACTAAATTGTGTGTTCCCTTAAATGGTATTTTTACCCTCCCTCTTTCATATCACGTATTTCATTTCTATTCGGAAAGTAATGTTTAAACTGATTAAGCTCTCTGAAGGACGTGTGTAGACTGTCCTAACAGGTAGGATTAGGATGAGGGGGATTAGGTGTTTTTCTGTTATGTAATATGAATTATAACGGAATTCAGGCAGGGCTACTTTGCAGCCTTGGACTCTAGTTGCTTTGTGAATTATGTGAGGGGATGTGGACCCAGGAGATCAGAAAACTAGAAGGAAATCAAGACTTCTATGATAACGTGTAATGCTTTAAACTCATTTCAATTTCCAATGATAAATTTTAATTGACACGAGAGGAATATTCTCAACCTTTCTTTGTTGTTATTCAAGTAGGCCTGTTTTTCCAGTGTGCTTTACCTATGCATTCCCAAATTTTATAAAATTAAATATAAACCGAAAAATATCAATGGATAGGAAAGAACTCGCAGAGTTCTAAAATGCTAGGACAAATAAAATCCGCCCTGAGGGAGGGAGTGGGGAGATAGACGGCTATAGAAGATATTGCTCCTCCGGGCAGTTTATTTCCTGAGTCATTTGACACATCTCCAACACTCAGGTGTAAAAGAACGAATCTAGTGCAAACGCCTCTTTTAGGTCATTGTATAAACCCATTTCTATATCCAGATCAAAATTGGTGCTGCTGCCACTATTGCCTAATCTAGATTATTTTACGTTACTGCTTTTAACAGCGTTTATATTTGTAAATTTATCAACAAACGCCAACAAACATGTAGCAATTTCTTTTGAGAGCCCAGAGTGGCTAAAGATTGATTGATTTCCCGTTTTTCTCTCTCCCTTGCCGTTTTGATTCATTAGTGAGGGCATTTAAGTTTTTATTGTTTATATTTAACTCTTTCAATATCTAGGTTAGGACGATGAAATATGCGTTTTTCTCTCTCCCTTGCCGTTTTGATTCATTAGTGAGGGTATTTAAGTTTTTATTGTTTATATTTAACTCTTTCAATATCTAGGTTAGGACGATGAAATATGCTGAGAAATTTAAATATTTATTGAACATATTAACACTGACCTATCTGACCCTCAACGTTAAAGCGGATCTTCATTGCATGGGATTTGGTAAACCGCCTGGCCTCCTTCCGTCCTCGGGAACTGGGAGGATGCGTCTGCAGTCGGTTTTTCCGCAGTGCGGGTTTCAGGCCTCTCGGCCCTGCAGTGCCTCCCGCAGGCGAAGATGCGCAGACCGGGCTCCAGCGGACCTGAGCGGTCTGCCCCGCTGCGAAGCTGACCCCGGGCGGCCGAAAGGACAGGCTGCGTGGGCTCCTGCCCCGTCCCACCTAGTCGGCCCCTGTCCCATCCCTTCCTGGTAAGTCTTGTGGCCCACACTTGACTCCGCTGCGAGTCCGTTTGTTGACCACATCAGCACTGTTAAGATCCGCAGCCAAGGGTCTTATGTTTTAAGGAAGGTGACTTAAGAAAGACAACATAACAAAGCCTTTATTCTCCCCAATCTCCTTCCTGCAAGTCCTATCCACTGCTTAGATATGGTTTCAGCCTAAATAAACTGAAATTATTTCCCAATGTACGTATACTGATCCTACGTGCATACCTAAGTGATAAAGGAAAAATACCAGCCAAGTGTGGGAACAGCTAGAGTGAACTATTGTTTCTCCGTATGCGGCCTTTCTCTCCTTTTAATTTTTATGTCGAAAATTACCTAAAATCCTATTACTCTTTGGGGGTGGGACAGTCCTATTGCTTTTCTGGTTTAATTACGGACAGAAGAGCTCCGTGGTCAGCACCACGGACAGCGCCAGGCGCGGAGGGCGCGGCCACTTCGGTGCGTTCTCAGATCCTCTCCTTTGTTCCCAGCCCCTGCAGGCCAAGGCAGAACAAAGACATCTATCAAGGCTCGCTTTCTCAGCTTGGGTTTCTCTTTGGCTCCAAGGCTGTGGTGCGGAACTACTACCTTAACTCAGTCCACCTCATTGGCTTCCAAATAAATTAATTTACTGAGTCCTGAAGTTTCTGACCTGGCCCTTTCCCTACTCCTTTGACCGATTTGGCCATTGCGATTGTGCCAAAACAAGGAAGTTATCTTGGCCTTTTAAAGCCAGGCAAGGACGCTTCGAGACTGGGAAGCGAAAGGGAGAAGTCAAAGGGAAATAGGGTGGGGGGAGTTGTGATCTTCCCGAAGGTGTTGAGCCATTTTAGGTTTCTCGAGCGACGTGGTCAGTGCGCCATTCAGTGTTATACTCCTCTGTCTCTTCTGTTTTGTTTTCCCAGCTTGGCCCAGGATTACAATCACACTACCTGCTCTTGAAAGAACCAGTGCTTTCTAGACGCCCCAACTCTCCAGAATATTTGCATAAATGGGAACCACTGCTCTCCTGACAGCTGTCAATGAAAGTCCTCTAAAATCCCCCTCGGGGTTTTGCTTGCGGATTTCCGAGGCTCTTACTGAAAAGTATGATCCTTTAGCTTTCGAACACTAGGTTGGTTCTGGGATCAATTCGGGGATCTTTATGCAGTAAGGGATGGGTTTATTCCACCCCTCAACCCCCCTGCCGCTGTCTTTTCTTTTTTCTGATCCTGAGACCCTCTGGTGTCCTTCAAGTGCAGCCGTAGGCTCCGCTCTTGGCATTCACCGCGTGCCTTAATTGTATGACATTAAATCAAGGTCCGCTGTGAACACGGAGGGCAGAGTCTCTGATCTTGATCCGGGAATTAACTGACCCACCACAACTACCTCTCTTCTCTTCCTGCCCTTCCTCCTCCCCCGAGCTCTGGGTCCCTACCCACAGAGTCGTAACTCATAAGCCTGGCTCCTGTCTCAGCTCGCCTCCTGCCACATCTGCTAGAGTCGCTGTTAATTAGTCTGTTCGGTGGAAGTGTAGACTATGAAACTATCTACGTACACATATGCATATATCTGCATGCCATTTACAGCACACCTAAAAACGTACATACGCCTGTAAATCTAGTTTTCAAATGACGACGTGGATCGAAGTTAATTACCCCTCTGGTAAAGATCTAATTTCGTAACCGTGTTATTTTACTGAAGTCAATTAACCCAGTTGGTTCGCCCTAAATCCCTTCTAAGGCACTTATAAGGAATGACAGGTTTTAAGGAACCGCGCCATTCCATGTTCTGCTGCAGAAACCTTTGCTAATCGTCTCCTGCTGTCCGGAAGAAATCTAGCACACAAAAGGGAAAACAAACATGCGTGTGTGTATGTAAGAAAAACACACAGATATTCCTAGTCTCTGCGTCCTCTGATAACGTTATCGCTATTTTGGCTGGGAAATTTGGGGGAAAGATGAGACTCCAAGGGCAGGCAGGGTGATCTTTCTTTGTAATGCGGAAAAATTAACTCAACCGCACCTGCCTAGTCCCGGGAGAGCTGGGCGGCCCATCTGGTCTGGCTACGGTTTTGCTGCAGCAGAGAGACCAGGCTGCTCGCTCAGGCTTCTCCACTGCCAGGGAGCGCGGATCTCGGGTGTGGGCCCGACTGCGGGTTTCGGCTCAGGACAGCGCAGCGGACGCGCACTCCTCAGACTGCCGCAAGAGTCTGGAGGCTGGAAGCGGAGGGGGGCGAGCAGGAGAGAGGAAGGGGTGAGGGGAGTTGACCTCTAGGGTGGAGCCCTCTGCGCAGCGGGCAGGAGGCGGTGGGCGCGGCGGCTCTTTTCACGGCGTCCCCTACAGCGCGGGCGGCCCTAGGGAAAGGCCCGCTCCCGCTCCAGCGTCCGAGGAAGCGAGAGAGCACCGAGAGCCGGTCTTGCGCGGAGACCCCAGACGTGTCCCTGAAAAACAGAATCACAGCGCAGAATTAGAGAGGGAGGCGGGAGGGAGGAGGCGGAGGCTGGGGAGAAGGGACACTAGGAGGGAGGGAGTACGCGAGGGAGACAAGGTGAAAGGAGGACGAGATCCCACAGGGCCGGTCGCGACCTCCGTTCCCAGTCTTCAGCCGGGAGCGAACGGGACCCCGCGACGCGCGGACCCCGGGGCCCGCAGCTGGGGGAGCAGGCCCTCTGCAGAAGCCGCAAGGGGGGCGGGGGGCGGGGGGCACACGCCGTGTGCATTGCTGCATCCAGAGAAGCGGTTTCGCGAGCTGAAACCGTGAAAACGCGTCCGCAGATGGTCTTCCTGCGCAGTCCCAGACGTGCCTGCATCCCGCGCCCCCTTTCTCCAGCCTCACCCCCTCCCTCAGACCACACGCCAGACCCGCATTCTCCAGTCCCCACCCCTTCTTGGCTGAGGACCCTGCAAACTGCAAGACTGACGAGTCCCAGCAAGAAAATCGAAACAATCGATGAGAGAAAGAATTACATATACACACAGCCCTAGAAATCCGAAGGAGAAAGACCTGCTAGCCCTGCGCAAACCTGCCGACGACCAAAGCGTTTTCTATCGCTGCTCATCGCGTTCGGGGAGGAAAGAAGAGGCTGAGAGGCTTCGGTGGTATAAGGTGCTTTAAGGTGGGAGGTGGGGGTGGGGAGGGG